AAACATGAAGAAATAAATTTTATCGATTATACAATTAAAATTCCCAGTTTCATTTGCACAGAAATCATTTATCACTTTAATGCATATTTAACCATAGTTATATCTGTATATAAGGTATTACTTTGTAAGTTTTTGAAGTCTAATTTGTTTTTATTGCCTTTTTTTTTTTTTTTTTTTTTTTTTGCGGTACTGGGGATTGAACTCAGGACCTTGTGCTTGCCAGGCAAGCACTTAATTCACTGAGCTATCTCCCTTGTCCCTTTATTGCCATTCTCGTTGTGAAGCTCCACTTTTTTTTTTTAAGATGTTTTTGCTTTTTTAGTTTGCTTTCCTCTCCCTTCCCTGTAACTGAGGATTCAACCCAGTGCTATCTATAACTGAGCAACAGAGGAAAATACCCAAGAATGTTTTGTTTTTTGTTTTTTTTGGTGGAACCAGGGATTGAACTCAGGCCCTTGCACTTGCCTGGCAAGCGCTTACTCTACTGAGCTGTCTCCCCGGCCCCAACGCCCAAGAGTGTTAGCACGTTCATAATGTATCTCATTAAGTAATTTAAGTCACACAATTCAGAAAGTTTTCTTAACTTTGTTCTTCTTGGATCAAAGGAACAATTCTGACCTTCATTACATAGTCAAGAGTTTATCTGTCATTTAACATTTCAGAATATTGATCATAATGCTTATGGCAACAGAATCCTCTACAGAGAACTGATAATCCCAGTGGGGTCTGCTCAGTGGCTGACAAGTAAGGATGTGCTATTTGAGAACAATGGAAGCTTGGTCCATCTGGATGAGAGTAATATCCTGACAAAATTTAGTCACAATGTTTCATTTCCTTCAATTGTATCATTTTCCTTGGGAGCTCTTTGTATGGAGGAGTGTCATAATTCAACTTCTTTAAAATGAGGTTTTAAGGTAGGTATGGTGGTGTACATCTATAATCCCAGAACTTTGTGAGGCTGAGCCAGCGCTCCTTTAAAAATTCTAAAAATTTTGTCAAGAAACAGTAATTTTAACATGATTTCTAGAGTTTTTGTAATGTTCTCTCAGTTTTCTACAGAGGATTCTATTCTATTTCTGTTTAACACGGTATTTAAAAACTGAAGAATCCTCAGCAAGAGTCATGTGACTTTCTAGTTGTCTTTTCTCAGAATCAGATATGGTCATGGTTTTGTTGCAAATTACAGCTTGCACAGATCTCAGGTGGGTGACCTCCAAACGCTATAGGGAACCTCCAAATGACATAGGGAAAGATGATCTCCCGACCTCACCTGGACGAGCTCATGTTCTCTAAAACCGAAGAGTGAATTTTAGGAACAAACGGAGGTTTTGAGCAGAATGTATTTATTGAAAGAAAGCTCCTGTCCAAGAGAGGGACAGAAGGGGAGTCCCGACTGGGTAGTCCCCAGGAAGTTGTCTCTTCCAGGGACTTTTATAGTGTAAAACCTTGTGGGGCTAAGGTGGAGAGAATGAGAACTTACTTAGGTAGATGTGGGGTGGGACACAACTATGGTCACCCAATGGGATTACAAGCACAATTGCTCAGGTAAAATTGATTAAGCGCAGGACCAAATAGGGAAGCGAGACACATAGCAAGCGGGCGTGAATGTAGAACAGGACTTTATCAGGTAGCCATCCAGTAGTAGTCGGATTAACGATTCTGGCTCCCTCAGGTGATGATCCATCTTGGATGCCAATCTTCAGGGAGGTCAGCATTTGTTTATCTTTGGTCTTTAGGTCTGGTCTACAGCGGGAGCATCTGTCCCTCATAGAGTTGTAAGGTATCTTGTCTTCTGTGTTGTCTGAGGGCCTGGCCCTGTCTGACTGCCTGTATTATTTCTGTCTAACTTCGCTGCCTGCAACACTTGTGCTTGCCAGGCAGGCACTTAAACTACTAAGCTATCTCCCCAGACCCTCTCTTAGTGTCTTATATATAAATGTATTTTTTTCTTCCTCCATCCAGTTGTTCTTTCCTTTTACAGTATTTCTCCCTTTCATAGTGTCTATTGTACATTTTGGATTTACTCTTTCAGTTTCTTACACTGACGAGACAAGATGCCATTTTTCATGTGTGAGTCTGATTTATTCATTGCTGCTGCTGCTGCTGCTGCTGCTGGCTGTGGTAATTATTGAGAGCTCTGCTGCTTCCCTTGAACATTATTTCCTGGCTCCAGTTAAGATCCCTCAGTGTGCTCGTACAGATCCTTCATCCCACTAGCATACACTTTCTGGCTTCTACGCCTGGCCTTCAGGCCCTCCTAGTGCACATCCTTGAAGCGGGCCTGTGTGAGATTTCGTCACGGCCGTAGGCCTCCACTTGGACTTGTGGGAGGCATTCTATGGGTTCTAGATTTTCAACTGGACTCATGCAGGGTGTTAGGATCCAGACCTTCAGCTGGATTATTTGGACTTTAATGTGTGGACAGATTTCCTGCACTCTTTGTATATGATTCTTTGGGTGATTATAAAATAATTCATAAGTGCTTCCCTGGCAAGTGCAAGGGCCTGAGTTCAGTCCCTGGTTCTACCAAAAAATAAAATAATTCATAAAATGTGTTCAATATTGTATTCTTCCCCTTGCAAAACCCCCTAGATGATCCAACAATATGCTGTATACAAGAAACACATTTAACTTTGAAAAGAAACTCATACACTGAAAGTCAGAGACTTTAAAACAATACTACATGCAAGAGGAACCCAGAAAAAAGCAGGGGTAGCTATACTCTTTGCAGACAATGTGAACTTTAAACCAAGAATAATCAAAAGAGATAAAGAAGGCCACTACATATTTGTTGGGAGAGAAATTCAAGAGGAAGAGATAACAATCATAAATATATGTATATATCAAATATGAGAGCAGCCAACTGCATAAAACATTAATAGACTTAAATAAGCAACAACACGGTTGTAGCAGAGAACCTTAATACCCCATTGTCACAAAAAGATAAATACACTAAACAAAAACTTGAGCAAATCAAGTAACAGAACTATACCAAATCTCTGAGCAAATGGTCTTAGACGTGTAGAGTGTTCCACCCAACAGTATCAGAATACATACTCTCAGATGCACATAGTATGTTCTCTAAAGTAGACCATATTCTAATCTATAGAACATGCTTAAGTAAATACCAAAAAATCAAAATCCCATGCTTATCTGACCACAGTGTAATGAAATTGGAAATTAATGTCAAAAGAAACAAAACTCCATAAACAAGTGTAAATTAAATAACACCCTCCTGAACCAATAGGCAGGGTGTTAGTTCAGGGTGGCCTTGAACTCACTATGTATCCAATCTCAATCTTGAAACAATCCTCCTGGCTTAGTGTCCTCAATGCTGGGATTACTTGCATGTGCCACCACACTTGGATAAAAATACATTTTCCTGAGTAGGTAGACTCTCAAAACATGGGATATATGTTTGGGGTTGGGTGTTTTTTTGTTGTTTGGTTGTTATTTTTTGTTTTGTTTTTATGGTGGAATCGGGGATGACCTCAGGCCTTTACCCTTGCCAGGGAAGCGCTTATTCCACTGAGCCATCTCCCCTACCCCCTGGGATATATGTATAAGTATGATTAACCAAACACATCCAACATTCACAGGCACACAAATACACACATCTGCATATACACACCTATACACTAGAGACAGACTCTCTAATGCATATATGCAGCTACCTCCCAACACAAATAATATAAATATGGAAGTTACTTCAGAAGTTCCCTGTAGAGCCTTCCCTACAGAGGATCACACTTCTGGTTTTGGGTTATGTTTACACTGTGAAATCTTAGGTTTAACCAGACACTATGCTTCCTTTAGGTCTTTTGAAAGGAACAGATCTATCTTTTTCTTTCTTTTTTTTTTTTTTTTTT